CAGTGGATCTGTGCTCGACAGTGCAGCCTAGGTGGAGTAGTCGAACACAGATCCACTGATCCTTCAACACATCTTCAGTAGACAAGCTGAGAAAACAAATATTTAAAATCTATATTGTTCCATGTACAAATACACGGTAGGGCTGCCATGGTTAGTCGACTTAAGTCATGATTATGTCTTGAAATCGTCAATGACTAATGTAATAGTTGATGCGTTGGTTTTTTTTCTAACTTTGTTGTTTTTCTCTCTAAACTGCTGCGGCACTTTCCACTGCCACGTCTGCCTTTCTGTCCTTGACTCACATGTGCAGTAGAGTGGTAATTATGGCTGCCACCAACCATTAGTTTTACCTAGTCGACTGTAAAAAAAAAAAAAAAATCGAATTTAGAAAAACAAATCAAGTCATTGATGATTTTAATAGACATAATCGTGACTTAAGTCGACTAATCGTGGCGGCCCTAATCCCTAATCCCTAGTTGTTGTTACTACAAGTGTTTTTTCTTAAAACCATTGGACAGATATATTAGCAAAGATCATTTGAATGAACTGAAAACAATTTTTTGAAGCAGGTTTTTGAGCAGAAGCTAAAAAAACTGAGAAAAACATCCTAAATTATTTGTTTTTCTATGATCTGAAGCTTTAATGTTTCAGGTTTCCTCTTTAAAATAACTCCTCAGACAAAGTCAGGATCAGATTAATGAAGGAGTTCTGATAACGACACAAACGGAAACATCTGTATCAGATAATCCAGCTTTTAAAACGTAGCTGAAAATATTTGATCATTTTGACCAAATTTGATTTAATCCTCAGTTTGATGAGTCAGATTTAAACATGTTGAAAAGGTTTTCTTTCACCTCGTACAACTCTTAAAGGAACTGAAACTTCTTTAAATATAAACAGCAACACAGTCAGCTGAGTATTTATACTAGTATCAAGTACCCAGACATTTAGTACAAGTACTTATAAAAAATTAAAATCCTAWTATCAGGAATATAAATACTGTTTACCCTTTAAAAACAAAAAACTACACAAACATGGCAGTGTTCACCTCACATTAAAACCTGACTCCAGTCTTAAAAAGGATTTTATTTTTTTATTTTTTTAAAACAGGAACCTGAGAAGTTGAGCCAACAGCTCGGGCTCTGACTAAACGCTGACTCAGCACCACATTAAACTGCAGAAACATCAGTTTCCACACAACTCATGTGGCTAAACTCTGATTTAATAAGTTCTGCTCATTCTTTCAAAATAAAAGCTGAACGTTTTGAACAGAAACCCAACAGGAGCTGCAGCTTCACAACGTTTGGGTTTTTAACTGAAACCACAGAGTCTGGAGACGACGCTGCGCCTCACTTTGATCAGAACAGAACCCAGTTCAGCAGCAGCAGGAGGAGGGTTTACCTGCTGCACTGGTTCTGATTCTGTTCACATCTGAAGCTTCAAACAACGACAGCGTTCAGAAACTCAAACAAGAAAACTCCTCGTTCACATTTTCAGTTTCTGCAGGAATAATCCTCAGAACAAACAGTACAGTGAGACGATGTGACGAGACGAGTTTTAGTTACAGCAACTG